ATGTAAAACGTACGCCAAAATTCGATGCTGCAAATCGATCAGCAGCTGAAACAGCTGTTGTTGCTGTTGTATGTGCATAGAAAGCATTTATATTTGCTAGTAGTGTTGACATAACGGCTGGAACACGCGGACACATATATTTATTTGAAAGACAAGCAAAATGAGTCATGGCTTGATAAATTGACTCAATACCATAACGTATCGCAAATTCAACAACAATATCTTGTGATGGATCATCAAAAAATACCTTCCATGCCTCATCCTGTAAAAATAGAACATCAGAATAGGATAAAGACAAAAATGTTCGATAATAATGACATTTTATATCGATCTTCTAGCGTATACTCGAATTGTGATAGACATGAACGTAAGTTAACACAATTTGAATACATCAACAATCACTTACTCCTTTTGCGTCTGGTATAATTGGTTGACCATTGTTAGCTTCACATAATGCATAAAATAAATTCTAGAAAAAAATAGAAGATATATGAATAAAATTGAAATTATCTCGGTTTAAATGATTACATACTTCATGTAGACACGTATATTGTGCATGATATGGAGCAACTTTTTCTTCTCCTTTAATTTCTACACTAATATGTAAACGAATAGCACCACTAACAGCCGATTTATCGGTACGTTTTTCTAGAAAAGAAAAAATACAATACGAAAATTAGATTATTTAAATAATAATGATTAGTAAAAAAAAGCAGGTAAAAAAGCAAAAGCAAACAGAACAAATAAAGAGATTACTACCTAAATTATACCAGACATCCATTTCTCCTGATAATGTTCGAACTTCAATTATCGTTTGTCCCAAAAAATCATCTGATTCTCTCGTTAATTTTTGCATTAATTTAGCACGAATATCATCATCTTCATCCCTAAATACGATCGAACATGACTATACTCACATACGTACACGCACAAAAAACACAACAGATAAAAACGAAATAAATAAATATGAATAATTTAAAAACTAGAGAGCGAGCGTATGAAAAAATAATATAATAAGTAATGGTCATATCTATCATGTATGCCCAGACATCTATGAAAACGAATGTCATCACCACACAAGATTCGTTTAATTTACAAATTTTTGTTTTACTTCAAAAAATAACATTTGAAGAAAATGTTTTTTTGTTTCTAACAAAAATGCTCAAAAGGATTTTGAATAATAAAACATAATTAATGAAAAGAAATGAAAATCTTGATAGGTGAAAATGACCGATAATATGTTTTTGTTAATGTCTAGTTTACACTACATCTTAATGTGACAGTCAATCTACTTGAACTGTATACCTAAATTATACCATACATCCATTTCTCCTGACAATGTCCTAACTTCAATAATTGTTTGACCCAAAAAATCATCGGATTCACGATTCAATCGACGATTTAGTTTTGAACGAATATCATTGTCTTCGTCCCTACGCACGCACACTCCTCGTTATAAAATAATAAAAATCAATCTCTATACATACCACACACGAACTTTGATACGATCACAAGAATTATGACATTCACTAAAAATAAGAATCATTTTATTATGCAAAGTATAAGGATAGAAATAATATTTACAAGAAAAATTTTTCATTCCATGACGGATTTAATTCGGAATAAACTGTTTTCGTTCGTTTTTTTACTTTTCCAACTTGAACAGTAACATAGGGATCACTAGTGCCAGATTTATCTTTGGCTATTAAACCTTGAGCACTTATCACTAGAAAAATAAGAATTAAACATCAATTGTATAAAAATAAAATTACAAAAGAGTTTAAAAGTCCTTCAATTATAAATATAAACTCTTTTAACTTTTAACTACAGTAATAAAAGTTATAATTAGAATTAAAACGTCTCACAGTGAGCAACCACATCATATTTAGGTGAAAAAACGAAAGTGCGCTTTTTCAAGATTTGAATAGCAGATCATATATTTCAGCTTACGCTCTATCTTCTTGGCATTGAAAGTTTTTTCTAAGTGCCATAGTTAGTGAGAAAATCGTTAAGAAAGTTTTTGCTAGAAAACAGAGCGATGAAGATAGAAGAATCATTTTTAGTAAAACAAAACATGATAATTGTAAAAATCATACATAGTTAGTTCGAAACTAGACTTTTACTCTGTCTAATCGTAAAAAAAGCTTTTTTGGAGGGATGCTTTGGAACCGAGAAAATAATGTTTCTTTCTCTGCTAAGTGTTCTCCGAAGAACGGTCCTCCGTACAGTGAGTGCACTGAGTTTAGCCAAGCTCCAAATCAGTAGGGTCTGATTTGTGAACATCTGCAATTTACATAATATATCTAGATGTATATCTAGATGTTCAGATATTCAGATATTCTGATATTCAAGTTAGATATTTAGATATTCAGATGTTATAGAAATGGGGAAAAGGGAAGGTGGGGGTGGCAAGGGAAGATGAGAGTGAGGCGCTTCCTGATATTCGCCACCGTGAAAGAAAAGAGGAAGATATCTGAATATCTGAACATCTAGATATTATGTAAATTGCAGATTTTCACAAATCAGACCGGTCTCGATTCCTTTGTTTCTTGCATGTGCGTATAGAGATTTTTGGCTGAAATTATAAAATTCATAAAAAAGGCCAAAAGACCACGTGCCTAGTGAAAATTGCCCACTGTATGTCTTATCTTAGCTTCACGTTAACTGAGCACTGTTCACTGCATCTTTTGTTCAACAAGACTATAGCGAGACGAGTATATTGGCAAAAGTAAAATCAGTAAAAGAAGTGTGAATAAGAATAAAGTGTCAATTAGTTCGGTGAGGACTGAACAGAAGAAAAAAAGACTCTATTCACTCTTCTCACAAACCTAATTGACACTTTATTTCCACACTTCTTTTACTGATTTTACTTTTGCCAATATACTCATCTAAGCAGTAAAACTAAGATTTTAACAGGTATAATTTTTAAACGAGTTATAAACTATTTTTACCTTTTGTCGAAAACTGTTAATTTTTAAAATTTATTATTAAACTCTACAGTCGAAAAAAAGCAACAATGAGCTAAATTTAACTAACCAGTTATAGCTAATTTAGCCGACCATTTCGATGTTCCATCAAGTACACTTTGTTTTACGGCTTTCATATGACCAACATGAGATTTTTCATCAACATTAAATACATCTCTAAAATAGTTTGACACTGTGTTTCAAAAGCATATACGTTTAATTTCTATAAGAAGAACTGAATGATCATAAATATTCATTGGAACAAAAAAATTGATCATCCACCTTAGTTTTCAATTTTTTCCCTCGATCTTAATAGCCAGCAAAAAATTTGAAAAAAGACTCGAATAGGCATCTCTTTTTGTTCAAAAACATTTGCTCTGCACCATGTAGTTGTTGGCAAAAAGTTTTCCAATCGAATTCCAAGATTCCTCGATTCTCCAGCTATCCAATTGAAAACTGTTGCAGCTAACTGTACAATGTACATTAACAATTGTAGAAATGTTTCTATTAGACAAATAAATATGTTCAATTTTCTTACCTAATTGTTTTAAATATGGCCGGTTTTGTTCGTTCTCTCACCGTCATTTTTTCGTGCATAGCTTCCATTAAAGTTTTCGCTTTATCTTCAGCACCATGTTTAACATTCTTTTGAGCACGTCCTAAAACAAGAACAAAAAGAAAAACCACTACTAGTTAATTGTGAAAACAAAGATGAAAGGAATATATCATGCTGTGCGCACCCTCAAAACAAAAAAGAAACGAAATGAAAGCTAAATAAACTGAGAAAAATCTTCATGCTATCAATAATAAGCAAGATGTCTTAATTACAACAAGCATTTTTTTTTTTTATTTAAGCAAGGTAATAATTATTTAGGGTCACAGACGAAGTAGACTGTTTAGCATCTGATATTATAATTGTAAAAGATATAATTTCAAAGAATAACGCATATATTCGAGTTAAATGTCAATCTATTTTGCTTGAATATAAAATGTGCACATTTAAATTTTTTTTTGTTGAAATAATGAATAAAATTAAAGAATTTGATTGACTTAATTCTTCTTTTTCATGAACTTTGATCATTTTCTGTTTTGTTGAAAATTCTATTAATTAAACGTTTTGGCAATGATAAAAAAAGAAAGTTCATATGGGTACAATAATTAAAAAAATTGAACATTTTTAGAATATTAGTATTAGTGAATTGGACAATGGTTAATAAAATAAAAAGAGAAAAAGAAGCAGTAGTAGAAGAAAGTCTTGGGTGTAAGATTTTATTCGTGCGATAATCTATTTTTATATATATTTTATTTTTTTAGTTTGGTGGGTGTATAGCAGAACTTATAGAATGTAATGCAAGCATTCTCTATTTATTTATTTTTCCGTACGTCCATCATAAAGTTCATCTGGATCCTCTAGCTCACTATTCGGGTCATGAATATGTGATAATGAAACTGAAACGTATAAACAAAAAATAAAAATAATATGTGTTGTCTCTTTTTCATATGTGTATCTGTGTGTGTGTGTTTTTGTTTTTTTTTTGTCTCATAAAAGTTGCATAATTAAGTTTTATTTAATATCAAGATTAGAATAACTTTTAAACGGTGACTGTTTTTTTTTTTTGTTTTATTTCATGCACTTGTGCTATTTGCTCAATGTGTGAGTGATAACAATAACAAAAAACAACAATGACAACAACAAAAAACAAACAAAGAAGAAGAAGAAGTATTATTTGTAATAATATTATATTTAACTATAAAATTTGAATTTTTTTTTTTTTATTTTTTAAAAAGAAATTTGTTTTACTTACGTTGTAAACAATCAGCATTTAATAAATCTTTACATTTTTCATGACATTTGACTCCACACTCATGACATTTGAGACCTTGTCTTGCAAGACCCCACAATAATCCTTCACATTCATAACAATAAGTTGGATGAGTAAAATTATAAAACTCAAAATCATGTGGAGTCGTAAGAGATATGGGATAAATAAGAGCTTGTAACGTTTTTTTGTAAACATGTGTACGCTAAAATAGTATAAAAATAATATATTATTAAACGAAAACATAAAAATAAAAAAAGACTACATACTAAATCTTCATCATTTAAATTATGTCTTCCAATTGCACTAGCCACACCCGCTGATCGTTTACCTGCCGATATACCCTAAACAAAAAAAAAGAAGATAAATAGTAAGATATTTCTATTAATTCGACTTATTATACCATATCCAGTCGAATACTATCCAATGGTGCAGCTTTTCCTCGTTCTGGTATATCTGGTGCACTATCAATACAATTATAAAATGCATTATTTGGCTCTGGACCACTAAAAATGAGAAAATAAATTATACATCAATTATTAATCTTTTTTGTGAGAATAAAACATTTAATAGATGTTTATTGGTGTCTAATTGAACAATAAAATATTGATTATCTACTAATATTTTTGACTATTTTCTTCAAACAATTTATATAAATGAATAAAATATTTATGAATTAAACTATTAGAATTATTTTTATTATTAAACGTTCTATTTTTCCGTATCTAAGTAGTATTCTGATTTTAAAATACTAGAACGATGTAAATATTTACGTCTAAAGTCTTTTGATGACATTGTTATCGTATAGTATATAATTGAATTGTAATCAAACAAGAAAAAAAAAGAAAAACGAAGAAGAAATAAACGATTTCAATGATGGTGATTTTTTTTTTTTTTTTATTTGCTATTAATACTACTTCACGGTTAAAACAGGAAGAAGAACAAAAATAAAGTGATAAAATAATAAAGAGAGCAGACAGTTGATTGTATTTTTTAGCCTTGTATTATTTAACTCTATTGGTAATTATAGTTAGAACTCTAATAATGACTCACAAATAGTGAAAAAAGTTGTTTGTTGTTATTTTTATTATTATTATTATTATTATTATTATTGACTTCAAAATAAACACGTATTTTTTATATTTTGTGAATGCATCATTAATAATCGATTAACATGATAGATGCTCGATTACATACTTTCCGTTGTTTCCTGTTTTTGATATTGTTCCATCGTCTTTATATAAATTTTCATTTGCTGCTGATCCACGTGGACCATTGAATGCATTTGGACTCTAAAATAAAAATAAAAAAATAAAATAAAAAAAATAAATTAGAAAAATAAAATAAAAATCATTAAACTATTGTATATTATAACACTCAATTAATGATGGATTAAAAATGGCGTGAGATAGACAATAGATTCCCAAAAGGGAATAAAGTCTCATCTGAAAAAATGAAAATCGAACATTCTCATGATAAAACACGTTTCTCTAATGTTTAAAAAAACAGATGAGATTTTTTGTAAATCGAATATGTAGTTGAATTTTTAATATACGAGTTTAATATATATAATAAACAAGAGAAAATAATATTATTTATTTGTTATTAACTTTTCTTAGATGTTCAAGCACGACAATTGATAAAAACAGTCATAAAACGGACACATTCATCTAGATTAAAATATTTATATATCTAATTTGAATTTAGTTGTAGTCAGAGATGGGCAATTCCAACTTCGTTTCAACACCGACAAGAACTTATTTTTTGTCTTAATTCATTTTCTTCTATTTCGCTTTTATTTAAAAGATTAGACACCACAAAAAAGTCAATTTAACAATTTAAAATTGTTTTTCAACAATGATGTGTTAAGTTTGAAAGCGTACTTTTTGTCATTCTACGTCGATGAGATCGGAAAAGAAAACAATCTTTGTAACTGTATAATAAAAACAGAAAAAAATCTTCAACTAGAGTTGTGGAGTGAATTGAATTCAACTAACTCAACTCCACTGAAAGAAGTTCAACTTCGGAGTTAGAATTGACTACAGTAGAATATAGATGAAAAAAAAGTTTATCTCCTCAATTGTTCGATAATTCGTTGAATGTAGTGACTAACTCGAAAGCCAATTTCCGTCTGTATGCAACTCGATAAATATATCTTTTAATCACGATACAAGTAGGGGGACACTGAAACTAAATTTTCTCGCTTACTTAAGTTTTATTTAAGTAATATTTAGTTAATCTATTTAGAGTTTAATTTAAAAAGAAATTTAAAAGACAATATACAAATCTTTTGTTTGTTTATTTTTTTCAATAAAAACATAATGTTAAATTGTTTACTAACTTTTCATCGAATAGAATAGAGAAAAAAAAAAAAGAAAGAAGAAAATGATGCACAAAATATTGGTGTAGTAAGTATAGTAACTTTTTCGTTGTCCTACCATTGGTATCATGAATAAGTAGTGCTCTCTCCATACAATAGTTTGATTTTTTTAATGAAATAATTGCCTTTAGTTATATTGTAGCAAACAAGAATGTGTGTATGTGTGTGTGTGTGTGTGTAATTTGATCCGCTTTTTTATGCTGCATATATTCTTTTCCTCTTTTTTGACGCGAATACAAGAATAAGAGATATATTTTTTTTTTTACGCGTTTATTTAAACAAGACTATAACATAATAACTTGATATGTCTAGTTTCCTGGAACATCAATCATTAATCTCTTTTGTAACCTATGCAAATTTGTAAATATTCAATGCTGTCAAGCCATTTTCTAAACTCATAATAACTTATTAATGATGAGAACATTGTTAAATAGAGAGTACAAAAAACAAAAATCGTAGTAAAACAAATGAATTAGAACTATTGTAAAATAAATTAAGATGTCACAACTGACAGGAATTTGTCGTTTCTTCTACTTCATTATGCTAATTAACTATAGTTACGTTACACTTTAATATTTTGACTTTTTATTTTTATTTAAAAGATCATCTTCTAAATTATGGTATCTATGTAAGTTATCAATCTGTTATGAGAATATTATTTAACATAAATAAACAATCAACGTAAAGAATGATGTTTTTGAAAAAAAGAAAAATTATTCATTCTAAAAATAAAATATCCTATTCCCATCTTTGCATAGTAGAAACGAACGAAAAAAACTAATAAGAATAAAAATTCTTTTGACTGTGAAAAAACTAATTTTTTTTGATTATAAAGATCCAGGTGGAACGTCTTTTTTATTTTTTGTCTTAAAAAGAGTAAATAAATTTCTAATTGTTCCATTTATTAACATCTCTCTTGGGAATAAGAGAATATATTCACAATAAAACAAAAAAAAATTAATGAATTTTCAATCAAGTACACTTCTTTTTAAGTAAATTACTTACTGGTTCTTCAATATCCAATGATATTTCATCAAATTCTTCATCTGTTCCCTCATGTTCATCAATATTAGTCGTTTTTGTAAAACGTCCTCGTAATTTTTTAGAAAACAATGTTATTTTCTCTAATGTTCGTCGATCGTCATTATCTTGAGTATCCGAAATTGATTTTTCAGAATATAATGGACATAACGGACAAATAGGTATACCGTATATAAAATGCATGCTCTTTACATACTATCGTTTATAATGGCATCATAACAACAAATGTTCGAATAGTAATAAGATGATACTTCTTCTTTTTATCCGTCTGTACATCATCGACTGTATAACTTTTACAGAAAAAAAAAAAAAAAAAAAAAAGAAGAGAAAATAAGATCTTCTAATCGTACTGTACTATGCTCTAGGATGTTGATAATAAGACAAACAACGGTGGATGGAAAAAAAAACTATTTTTTTGTTACTGAGAAAGAGAAAAAAATACATTAATGTCACGAAATCAACATTATAATCATAATCGTTGTTTGAAACAAAAAAAAAAAATAGAGAAGTAAAAAAGTAGAAAACCACTAGAAAAAGAAATTAACATATGAAAAAAACACTTCATAATGTTGCACAACTATGTTAAAAGAGTAATATATATATGTATGGATAGATATAGATATATATATATATATATATATTGAGAGAGAGATATATTGATATAATAAGAAGGAAAGAAATGAACAATAGGTTCAATAGAATAAAGGAAATGAGATAAAAATCATGAGATTATCTATTTTTAGTGATCATATGCAGGAAATATATTAGGAGTTAGACAACGTACTTTGATTCTATTTAAGCAAAAATAAGTGGTAGTAACTGTTAAACATAAATACGTCTATCAGTTTCCAACGTCGAAGTAAATGTTTGTTCAAAACATACGAATATAGCAAAGAATTTACTATTAATAAATAATTGTTCGATTCAATTAAAAAAAAAATTCGAATTTTTTGATATTAATAATCAGCGCTGAACAATATCAATGATCAACTTGGACATAGAAAAAAAATGCAAATTCTTAAATATTTCTGTACTTTATTCACACTCCTCTGATACTATTAATTGAAAATTTTTGAAAATATTAGCACCATCTACTTTTTGTATTCGTATTATACAACGGCGTCTATCCCCATCTAAATATTTGAGGCATTTTGTAACACCACGGAAGTTTGATCTCTCAGTGTAACACCTCAAAACTGAATTTATACAGCAAAAAAGTGTACCATCTTACTTTTGTTTGAGGCATTGCGCCTCAACCGTTTCACAGGATAAATGCCTCTAGTATTATATCCAACATTCTATTTCGTTGAAGAGAATCGGTAAGTGTCTAGTACTGCAAACAAAAAAAACGAGATAAATTTCAGTTCACCTTTAGTTTTCCTAGATCAAGAAAACTCGAACACACAAATCTGAAAAAAAATTTGAATAGTTGAAAAGACAACATTCGAGATGTGAGACGTTTCTGAATTTCAGAAAAATCAAGTCCTAACTAGAATTTAGCACTTAATTCTAAAAATTCCATTAAAATGACAGGAATGTCCACTAACATATGCCATCTGAAATTTCAATCGTAGTAAAAATGGTAATTACGAGAGAATTTTGAATTCCAACTGCTGGTTTCATTTTGTCAGAATATTTTAGTAAACAAAATTTTTTTTCCTTACAATATTGTGAAGTGGATTTATCCTTTTTACAGAGGAATTTTAGATCGGATTTTCGAGATGAAAAAAACATTCATGGATACTTCAAATTATAAAAGAACTATTTTTTGGCTTATGATTTGTTTTATCTTCTATGGCTTTCTTTACGTTAATGATCTGAGGCCTTTTCATAATTTGAATGCAGTTGACTGTATCAGAGAGTCATGGAGACCATCAAATTTATACACATGATTGTTTACATTTTTCGATAACCCCCATTTCTGATACTTTCGATGAAAATTTTTTACATACATCTGTCATTACAGGCAATGTGTCATTGTTTTTATTTCTAAATGTATGGTATTCGATTCATTCATTAGACTCTTTTATATCTTTTATTCTATAGTGATGAAAATTCTTTCAACTATCCAAATCTCTTTTTTCAGATTTGTGTTCGAGTTATCTTGATCGAGCAAAAAAATGTCAAAAATACTACTAGAATGAACTAGAATTTTTTCCAGTATTTGTATATCGTATCGTTTTATTACAAGCATCAATTCATACCATTTTTACAACACAATAATTCTTTATTGCACCTTTAACTTTATCTATTTTCGTAGTCAATACTCGGTCTAATTAATAAATGACATCAAATTTTGTTTATATATTAATAAAATGTTGATTTTAATTTTATTTTATTTATTAAAAACATGTTTATAGTTAGTGAGCATTCTCGATAGATATATATATAGATGTTTTTTGTTATTTTATTTCAAATATTATTATCATTATAGAACGTGATCACATCAATAATTGTTTGTTCATTAGACAAGAAGAATTGATAGACAATTTTTCTTTTTTTTTAAAAAGACTCCAAATGTTTGTGTGGGAAATTTTACAATACAATTAATTTTAAACACACATGTTTTTTTGTAAAAGTATCATTCTCCTTTAGGACACAGTATTTTTATGTTCTTAATAAATCTATTAGAACTACTTTCATCAAAAGTTTGTTACCATTTATTATTTTGAAGAAAAATAATAGTATCTCACTGAAATATACTATTAGATACAGAGTCTGAGTAACATAAAAAAATAACAAATTAATCATGTTAGTTGATGAATCATTTTTTTTATATTGATACATTATGAAATCATAATTGATTTTCTGAAATTTAGAAATCTTATTTTTTTGAACAATTTTGATATTGGAAAGATGTTCCATTCTTTTCTCTTTTAAATTCAACTATTGTATATCCATATTTATCATTTATAAGTCTTCAAACAGTTTCATTTATCTAAGATATTTTCTTATAATAAAAATACAAAACAAAAACTTTTGTCAATTCAGATACTATCAAGGGTTCGAAGCTCTAAAATAAAATATCGAGAACAAGAAGACCTCTTATTTGTTAAAGTATTTTGACTTTCCTATGCAATATAATATAAATGAAAGGTTAAGATAAATATGAAAAATTTAGTGATTAACAAAACATTTTCGTTATAAATTAAACAATTTATACAAATTGCTACATAATCTTCTTATTTTCTCAAGTAAAAAAAGATATTGTCTTTCTATGAGTTTAATAACATATCGATAAATTTTGTTGATGTTATTTTTGGGGTTTTAAACCTATTTCGATGTTCTCATTGATAACCGTATATTTCTCTTTTATATTATAAAAAATTATTCAAAAAATTTGTTATGTCCTGATCACACACATCCAAAATAACATATGTTACCACTCATATTGATGACACATAGTTTTTTTATTTTTGTATTATTAAGCGTACTCTTTTGTTGATGTGTAAAAGAAACAAAAGAAACAAAACAACAAAAAAAAAACGACCGTTTAATCAGTATGTGGAAAATAGAGATAATAAGCTACAGTTCATTGACTCGTTTTTTTAAGGAAGACTTAATAACAAAATACGAAGCAGAAAAACCTGACACCAATGTAGACCAAGTTCTTTATAATTTTATTATATATTTATTCGTTCCCTCGAGGAAAGTCAGGGTCTTATGAAATAAATTAGTTGTGTCTGTCAACATAGGAATGTATATGAAAAAATAGGATATTATCCAAAAAATTTTTAAAATTATTCTTTTAAAAATAATAATCAAAGATTTTAGATGCTGTTCATTTTTTGGACTGATATATGTAATAAAAAGGTTAAAGTTACAATAAACACAGAAAGAATGTGTGTATTTACCAGAGATGGACAAGTCTGAGTCAAATTTCAGTCCACTCAAAACCTAATTTCTAATGTCAGTCCTATAAACATCAGTATGAGCCAGAAATATTTTTTCATTCGCTCTTATGATTACATGTTTTATCTTGTATGTTTTTACCGAAATGACACTGTTTCTTTAAATGTCAACGATATATCAAAGATTTTTCTCTACACTACCATCCAAAAATTGAAGAATTGATCTGAAAAATCAGTCTGCGAAAATAAGCAGTCACAGTCCAGTTAAAAAAGCTCACCAGTTTGGACTGAAATTTGTCCACCTCTGACATACTTATAATTTCATAAAATGAAATCGTTGATACACATGGCTTATAGTATGTCGTCAGGTATATAAATATCAAATATTTTAGTAGATTTCAAAATTTCGTAAAAATGTTTTTCTATTAACAGCAAAATAGAAAAACATTAGAAGATCGAGTAAAATTATGCTGATTATTTTAATAATAAAAAAGAAAGAATATTTTTTGCCTATTCACAATAACAAGAAAGGCATTGAAATTAAATAAAAAGAAGAATAACAGAGAGAAAATTGAATTAGAGTTCATTCTGAATGAAACAAAAAAACAAACTGAATATTTATAAACAAGTAATATTAATAAATATCAAAAAAAAATATTATTTATAATATACAAAAGAACATCAATGCAGTTAACTGACAACGAAGTAGAAGAGAAATATATATGTCTCTTCCCTTTAGATTTAGATCGTAAAACTAAAGTTGATTAAATCTATTAATGCTATCTTTCTGTCGTTAAAACACATACGAAATAATATTTATATCTTAGTTTAGATAAAATCAGCAAGATTCTACAAAATTGACCTTACATTTTACCAGGGATATTTCTATTTATATGTCACTGTCGAAAGAAGTGTGTACACACGTATTTTTTGTTCATATAGAATAATAATTTTTTCTACCTTTACATCCCACGTACACGTTGAAATATATATATATATATATATATAGGATTCATAATTCATTAGTACAATTTACATGTCATCATCAATAATGTCATATGATTCAATTGTTTCTTCAGTAATTACTGGCATACGACTCGTATTAGTTGAATTTGTTGTTGATAGTGGATTTCTGTTTGTTGTTGTTGGTGGTGCTTGAAATGTTTCATAGACCATCAAATAGACTTTATCACGTAATTTTTCTATATAAATACGAAACATTGCCAATCTTGATAAACGACTAAAATTAACACTACTTCCATGTTGTCGAGATTGTTGTTGTTCTTTTTGGTTTACAGTTTGAACAGCTGATGATGTTGACATACTAATAGAATTTTTAGCACTTAATATACGTTTAATAACGGCATTCTCAGATGTTTCTTTTAAATATGTCCATTCAAATGATTTCATATCCATTAGAGATAAATGTTTGGACTTTAATGGTATTGTAATATTTTCATGTTGTCTTAAATCTGGCATACTATGATGAAAATTTGGTTGTGAAGAAAATGGAAATTGTAAATGTTGTGGAGCATAAAGTGAATCAACATCAAATGTCATTCGATTATGAGACATAAGAGCTAAACGTTTTATTTTTAATAGTTCATCAATGGTAAAACTGGCATATTTTAAATAAGGATCATTTTCAAGAATATCTGGTTGCTGATGTTGAGCTGTTTCAGTATTTAATAATTGTAAATAAGATGAATCACTTATTTGTGATAGACGATCAGGTGTAGCATGTCCACCACCACCTCCGCCAAGAGATGGATAACCTCCACTAAAAGATGCTTGTGATTGCATATCAAATTCTAAAAAACGATTCCGTAATATTTCAGCCATTTCATTCACATCATAACAGGACAGAGCATCAGTTTCAGCTATATGACGTGTAAAATCAGATTTATCCCATTCTAAATCGACAATATTTGAACTAGAATCACCGAGACCGGATGTACCTATGGACGTTGGTCGACTATACGATGGTTGTTTAACTGATCGTCGTCGAAATACAACAGATGACGATGGTTCACGTTGCTCAGCTGAACTAAAATATGTGGCAACCGTTGGAGTTGAACTTGAACGACTTGACATCATCATAACTCTATTTGCAACAAATAATAAGTGCGTATCTGTATGTAGAAAACGAGAATATTGAATGTAACAGCTCTTTTTTTTGAAAAAATTACTTTTTTTTTTTCTGATTTAGCAGAATAAGTAACAGCTGCAGTGATTTTTTGTCTCTTTTTCTCTCTCACTGTTTCTCTTGCTCTGTCATCGTTTTTTTCATTATTATTACTGTTTAGAAGACCATTTTTTGCTCTTCATTATTCTTTTCAATAAACATATCAAACGCACGATGTACAGATTTTGGAAAAGCAAAATGATATTTTCTTTTTTCTTTTCAGGGTTTCGACACCTAAGATGATTGAAAACAAAAAAAAACGATGAAGGAAAAACACGCACATTTGAAGCCTGTTGTTTATTATGAGTAACAAAATTGTCATACTCTACACGTGAATAGGACGCTCGAGCACATATCTATGATGAGTAAAAGATGAGCAATAAATCGAGTCAAGAAATTTAGAACGAATCACACACATGAAAAATCAATTAAAAACTAATTTTAGAAAATAGAATATGCTACTCTATACTGGAAAAACGTTTTGTTTTTTTCTATCAATATTTGAAAAGAGATAAAAAGGTATAAAATCGGACGATTGAAAATCTTCGTACACGCTCAAGCACAAAATTATGAAATGATGAGAAACAATTCTAATATCACCATTGAATTGTCATATTTAGAAACAGAAAAATATAAAACATGTTCCCTAACATATTTCTTTTGTTTTGATTAGATCAAAATAAAAATAAAAAGTTCAATTTTTTTCTCTCTTCGTCTGTTATTGTCATTAGATTATTTTTCTGTTCTTTATTCGAACAAATTTGAGAGCCTAGAGAAGCTAAAAAGAGTGTCAGAATGAAGTGATAATTATTACAGATTTATTTTGTCTTTTCTCTTTATATTGTATACAAATATCGTTAGTAGTGGAAAAATATGACAGAGACATTTGAGTGCGTTTTATCTCATTTTAAATCGAAAAATGTATCCAGCGTAGAATATTGATGTTGACAGTAGCAGTGACCGGGTGAATATCTCTGATGCACCTGACAAGCTTCTGATAGAATCAGAAAAGCCGTATTGTACGTCACAATGGTAGTAAGTATGCTATCGAACGGACGCTTCGTGACACCAAGGCATGAATAACTTGACAAAGACTTGTACACGAAGGTTCGAGAACAGTACTGTCGAAGTACGAGTCTAACGATAGAACCACCAAAATCATACAACTCAAAACTATCTGTTAATCATTTATTTGACCTTTTTTCGCTCTAAATAAAACTTGTCACACATCGTTTATAATGTAATCGATAGTCCGTAAAAAGCTCTACAAGAATATGTATAGATGATTGATTTAAAAATTTGCGTTCGAAAAAAATCGGAATTTTGCCTGTAATTCTTAATTTTCTCCATCAAAACTTAACTTTTACATGTTTTCATCCTATTCAACCACTTTCATTTTTTCGAATTATCACCTAGAAAAATGACTATGATTTTTAGCCCAAAACTGAAAATCAACTAAACATTTCGAAAAATATATCATTCGACTTGGCTTTTGACGTTGATTCCGAATATGACATTTTTATTGTAGAAAAGTTGAGTACCGGTAGAGATAATTGCGAAGTACGGTCAGAGTTCTGATTTTTTCGACAAGATAATAACAGTCGTATGCACACAACAAACATTGGTTTTTTATTTCAAAAACACCAAAGCTTTCAAGGAGGAGAAACAGAAAAATCTTGAAACTTCTTTATTGCAGTGTTCAACATATATTCACAGGAACAAAAAGAAAGAGAACGAAAAGTGAAAAATAAGAATGAGATAAAAAGAATGTTATGTTATGTGTTATTTTGATATCCTCTCGATTCTTCCCTAATTGGCTTTGCAGATCAAACAACATCAAGGTGACATAAAAAGTGAGAGTGAGTATTAGGGACGAATCGAGAGTGAATCATTCGATTGGTGTCCTTCATATTTTATTTTCAGCGGAAAAAACGAACGAAAAGCGTACAAGGATTTATTTTTCTACACGCTTTTTCTTCGTTTTTTTTCACCGAAAATAGAATATGAAGGACACCAATCGAACTGATGACGGATGTGTTCCAAGTGTCTAATCGCTTTCTGACTGTAACATAGTTTTTCTGGGGTAACTTTTGACACTAATCACGAATCTGATATTCTTTTGTACTCTTAGGCCTTTCTGTGATGATTCTTTGAACATCGGGTGTCTGCAGATTCAATACGAACTTTCAGTTGAACACATTCTGACAGCAACAGATTGCAGAAATTTTTATATCTCTGCCAAAACTTGTTCATTAGTCTGAAAAATTTCTCCCCATAGGTAACTTGACTCTGCTGTACAGTCTGGCGCTGTCAGATTGTGTTCAACTGAAAATTCATATTTAATCTTTAGACATCCGCTTTTCAGAGAACCATCCAAGAAAGACCTAAGAGTAGTGGTGTACCCACTACTAGACTCAGGATGGACCATGGCTCACTCCTTAGAAACTTCGCTTTCCTAATTCTCGTTGAAAAACAATTGATTGAGGTTGGAAATAAATTAGTGAGGTAATAATTTTCGCATGAATTCAATAACTAATGCAGTGCTTTTATGCGATATTTCGAAAAGAACTAAAACTCTCAGCTCAGCAAGAAAATTTAGAGAACGTAAAATGAAACGTAAAAGGTACTTGGCTCACCTCTTACCGGAATCCTGAGTACATAACTGTTTCAGAGCACAAACGGATATTGAATTCTGATCAGTATCAAAAGCTACTCCACAAAAAGTATCTTACAACCAGGAAGTGATTCGACATCTGGGTCATTTCCCTTGTGAGAAAAAATGTTATTTCGAAAAACCTGCAATGTTTCAAAAAACATTGACAGAAGGATTATATGAAAAGTGAACGAAAATCTTAAAATTGGTGACGAATTCACAGACAGGCAGCCAACTGTTAGTTTATTGCACAGCTGTATCCGATGAGATTCTATTGTGATAATGTATCTCTACTATATCGTTGTTCGCTCAAATTTAACAGAAACTAGTTCGCTTTAGAATCGCAGAATATATGGATAGTTTGAAAATAAACGCTTTTAAGAGATAGATAGAAACATAATGAAGACATAAAAAGAAAATTTTTTAATCCCATTGCATTCTCATCTTGTGAGTGCTTTGAAATCCTCACTGAAGAAGATTTCAGAAATATATTGTGACAACCGTTCAAACTCTATGATATCGAATTTTAAATACGTCAGTAATACTAAAATGTTAATACTTTTTCCGCTGGTATACTTGACATTGAAGTTTAACCTTGATAATTAAATTATTTTAATTTTTTTTTGAAATTTTTATTACATTTAATGTTAAAATTGAGTTTTAAAACACAAAATCCGACGTTGAGTTTTTATAAACATTAGATTTGTAAGTTCATTGAGGATAAAATATTATGGATGTACATATAGTTTGACAAGGACAATAACGGAACATGTTGGACTCTCGTGATTCTGCGAGAATCACTAGATTTCCTTGTAGACCAATAATCGAATAATTTTTACGTCCAATAATTGTGTTTAAGAAGTGGAAGAATAGTTGTTTATAGAATATTCAGAGCAGTATTAAATTATTCTAATAATAAATCTGAATAATTGTAAATATTATAAAAGAACGTCATAAGTGAATAACTAAACGTTCTTAGAAAAAATTTCTTTTATGAATTACTTTTAAATGAGTATTTTAGAGGAAAAAACAAAAATATTAATTTTTCCGATTAGCAAAAGTTAAATTTTTATCAAAGATGGTATTATATCGTTATAAATATCTAAATCTATGTACACAAACAACAAAACTTCGTTAAGAAAAAAATTGTCAATCAATTTGCCATTTTTTAATCTATCATATTATATAAATTAGGGATAATAAATGATAAAACAAAAAATTTCACTTACATGATTTAATTGTGTAACTGTTCTCACGGCATCAATCCACTTAACCTTTGATGATGATACAGGAGCTACTACTGCCACATGATTACTATTGTTCGGTACAGAATTAGAGGGTAATACATTTCGTTGTGGTCGATCACTATTAGTAGTGAGTGGAGAATTTTCTTCACTATAATCTTCGGTACCTTGACGACTAATACCTTGTGATGATATAAAACTTCCAACAGGACTAAAAATAAACAAAATAGAAAAACAACATATTAATAAAGATAATTAAAAATAACATTAACATTATATAACACATAGCAACACAATTCTATATGTAACAGGACATCAAAAACAGACAAAAAAGAAAAACAAATCACACACCCAGTTACAGTTGTTAGTCGAAGATAATATCAAACGGCACGGCCAGATAACTCTGCGACAGGAGTGAAATTTCGTGACGAGATTTTGACATTTTGCTGTGTTTATATTCTTTTTAAAGAAAGTACGTACTGGGCTGTAGAACGTCTAGGATTGTAAAGCAAACGTTTCTCTACAAAATAAGGCGTCTCAAGGCTCTGTACGTTATTTGTTTAAAAAAGAAAAGGAAAATACAAAAATGCCCTTCTTAAGCTTCATTTCGGGAGAGAAGCATTTAGTATTTACCATTGATTATTTAAACAAAGGAACATATAGAGCTCCGAGACAGACACCCCATTTTGTAGAGAAACATTTGCTTTACAATCCGAGATGTTCCACAGCACCGCATGTGCTTTCTTTAAAAAAATATAAACACAGCAAAATTTCGTCACGGAATTTTAATCCGATAGCAGAGTTATCGATTATCAAAACGACCCAGTTTTAACAAATATCATTGAAATTTTTAGGTAAGATTTCTACTGACTAAATAATTACATGACGTAAAAGACACTTCAAGTTTATCTTTTAAGATAAAAAAGTTTCGATATTATAAAAAAAAAAGATTCTGTTATTTTATATATCTTTTGACATTGCCTGATGTGATTCTAGAAAAGCTAATATTTTAATC